CATCCGGTCCAGGCATACGGTGAACAACTGGACCTGGCAGCCTGGCATGAAGAAGAGTTTTAGCATTGGCTACCGAGCCGACTGCGAAAAGTGTCGCCTCAAAGTACCAGGCCACTTCAACCACATTGTCGTCTCATAGAATGGGGAGGAGTTCTTGCTCGAGAATCTGCCCAAGGGCAAGAATAAATTTGCCAACGCAGAGAGCTATCTCTTACAGAAGCGGAAAGAATATTTGGAAGTGGACGAGCAATGCTCGCCTCTGCCGCGATATCTACTGGTGTAAAAGCGTGGTCGGCAAAGCATACTGCGGTGCAACAAGTGCTTCTGGTTTCACGGAGTTTATGATTTCGGGGTGCACGGGTTTGACGACGGCAACGGCTGTCTTGAGAGTAATACCACATTCAGCGCATATACATATCCACTCGCTCGGGTCCGGGGACAGGCGGACTCTTTTCTTTTTCGGTCTATAGGTTTTTGGGCATGCATCCTGGGAGGAGAGTCGACTGCCCGGCGAGGCGGACTCGGATGGTCAAGCATTCGGAGCGATCGAGGTAGTGTACATAATACCAGTCCAGCGGACGTAATTGACAGCGAAAGCTGAGCATTGTTCACGACGCACTGTCTTCCCGAGCGAGTCTGTGTGGTAATGTTGGCGTGATTGCAGCTCCGTGATTGTGGCTTGAAGGAGATGGCCAATATTTGGCACGGACATTGCACGTGGCTTGCTCCCCTCCTGTAGCGTAGCACAAAATTGAGCAATGCCAAGATGAGGGTGATATTTCCTTCCCGCATGCAAAGGTTCAACCGGACGCCGTCTAATGCACATCCAGTCAAGTCTACACTATGATACAGTGGCACTCTTGCTCCTCGTCGTCGTTCTCGTCCTCCTACAATGCCTTCCCCGGCGTCGAGGGAGGCAGAAAGGACACCATCACCGGCTTCCACACACGGCTCTTCACCCACTCGATCCTTGGTCCCACCATTATCATACCCTCTCTCTCTCTTCCTTCCTTCCGCCTGTTTTCCAGCTTTTGTGTCGTCGTGTGTGTGTGTGTCTGTTTGTAGCGTGTCTATGCATATCGTTACAATACCGCATGCTCCGTTTTTGGGTTGTTGTGTATATCAAATTATAACAATGTTGCCACCCGCCCGCGCGCCGAGAGTTTTTGAGAGTAAGAGCAGGTGATGTGTGTTTGTAAGATGCTCTTACCACCACCCCTTCTTCTTCTCCTCAGCCGGCTGCAGCCCGATCTGGTCCAACGCGCCCCCGCGGCGCTGGTTCTCCCTCTCTTGCTCGAAGGCGGCCTTGGCCTTGTCCTGGATCGCTTCTGTGGTGGGCTTGGCGGACGACGCAAAGGGCCACCAGCCGCTGCTCTTCTTGTGCGTTTCCGCTGCGACGGCTTCCGCGGGTGCTGAAAAGTTGGTGGCCTCTGGTGATGCGGTCTCGGCACGCCCGGTGCCGAAGATCTTCTCGGCCTGGGTGGTGACGGTGGGGGCGGAGAGCAGGGGCGGCAGGCGGGTGCCGGACTCGCGGGCGGCGGCGTTGGCCTCCTCGACGAGGGAGACCTGGGCGTCGGTGGCGGTGCCGTTGATGAAGGCGAGGCGGGCGGCGGCGAGGGAGTCCTCCTCCATCTTGCGCTGGGCCTCGATGAAGTCGGCGCGGCGCTGTTTGTTGTAGGTTACCATGTCGTAGACGGAGTAGATTGAGACGAGGCCGGCGATTGCTGCGAGTTGGTAGTGTTAGTATCATTTCTTTCTAAGTGGCTGCCTGTATGGGTTGAGCCGGGAGGGTGGCGATCTCGGGGCTCAATTGGCCTCGCATGATCCCCCGGAAGACGTGCTCTCTAAACATACCTGTGAACCCGACCAGCCCGATGACGGTCGCCTTGTGCGCAACGTCGAAGAACCGTCTGCTCCCGCCGAGGACGCGGTCGACGCTGCTGGTCTGCGCCTTGCGCGCCGCCTCGTGGGCCGCGCGGAGGCGGCGGACGCGCTCTTCGGGGGTCTCGCCGGGTAGCCTGTTGCCGCCGGAGGGTTTCGGTGTGGAAGGAGACTTTGTCGCTGGTGTCTTTGCTTGTGGTGAGGGCTGCTGCTGCTTTGGTTTCGGCGTGGGAGCGGCGGCGGCGGCTTTGGAGGCGGCGTGCGGGGTGGTTGAGGTGAAGCGCGTTGCGTCGGAGGCGCTTCGGGGGGATACTCTCGAAGCCATGGTTGTGGGCGGCCTGGGGTTTGCTCGTGACGATTCGGGGGGGTATCGTTGGGAGGTGAGTGGTTTTGGCGGTTCACTCTATGGTCGAGGTTGAGAGGCGACTCGGAGTCGGGAGAACGGGTCGGCGAGCGTCATGAGATTTTTTGGAGCTCTGGGTATGGGGCGGCACTTTTTGGTGTTGGGCTTTTTTGCGGGGTTGTGATTGGTGCGGGATGTTCCGGGGTCGTCGTCGTACGAGGGAGCTTTGGTGCGGCTGGCAGCTGGGTGTGAGGAACGTGGTGATGAGATGGACGATAATTGAAGGGAGGACTGGTGATGGTATCTTTGGTGGTTGGGCATATCATGGCATAGGGGACACGCATGGGAGGAGAACTGGACGCAGGTTACAATCCATTTCAGAGGATACGGACGATGCAATTGATGGATGGGAGCACTACAGCTAAGCGCAATCCCAAGCTGAAGAACTTCGACGTCTACGGCAGGAAGTCATGGTATGGGCGAACATTGCACTGGGTGAAGCCATCGTCAATGGTCAATGGCGCGGCAGGAAGACGTACATGTTTATCACGAATGTTGACGGGCAATTACAGTATCAATTGAGCGAAGCTACGAATGGGTATTACTACAAATCCGTCATCGACGTAGCCTCTACTCCAAAAGCCCGAGGTTCAGTACGATCAAATTTGTGAACCACGGAAGAACCTCAGCTGACGCCGAGTCCGCTCACACTCCAAGACTCACAGTCTTCTTCATGACCCTGCGCGAGGCAGAGCACACAATGAAAACAAAAGGCATACATCAAAAATTGCGCCCACGATGGCCCCGAAGGGCAATCGAGAGAGGTCGACGCCGCGATGTGCAATGCAGGCCTCCCTCTCTGCCGTCAGGATTTCTTGATCCCCCGACGGCCAGACAAGGTAAGTATGCCTTTCAAAAGGAGAAAAGGAGGAAGATGGGCGAGGTGGACGGAATTAAATAGACGTCTGCAGCCGAGCCCACAATCAGTAAAGATACGTACCTCAACGCAAAAATTCACCGCGGCCACCTTTTGCGCGGATCAAGGTTCCGCCGTCGCCTGTCCCGCCTGCCCTGCCACGGCAAGCTGCCCACAGCCAATCGCCTCGCGCCTGCCGTCCCGCACCGCCAAACCCCCCCAAGTACGTACCGCACGCCCGGGCTTTTCGTAGGGTTTTCATGCCCTCCAGAGATTTTGACTCGTCGTACCTCCAGGAAATTTGTCCACGCCTCGCAGCAGCATCTCGACGACCCGGCCTAGGACTACTAACCCTTTGATCGCGACACAGGCACAATGGTACGTTTGCCCTCGTCTACGGAATCGCCATCGAAGGCATTCGCGTCCCTGTCGCCGCCGCCGATTTACTGACTTTGGCTCTCTCCAGGCGATCGCACACAACCAGCAGATCCCCCACAACCGTGAGACTCCCCCACGATCCAACGACGAAGCGAAGAACGCACATCGAGAAGAGCACGACAACTGACAGAGACACCACAGACTTCCGCAAGGATTGGCAGCGCCGGGTTAGGACGCACTTCGACCAGGTATGATTTGGCCCCGTCGCAAAATTGGCGACGATTCGAGATGGGAAAAACATCAACCGGGAACCCGAAATTTTCTAACAACACCACAATAGGCCGGCAAGAAGCACAGCCGCCGTGTCGCGCGTCAGGCCAAGGCCGCCAAGGTCGCTCCCCGCCCCGTCGACCTCCTCCGCCCGGTTGTGCGATGCCCTACCGTCAAGTACAACCGCAAGGTCCGTGAGGGCCGCGGTTTCACCCTGGCTGAGCTCAAGGTAAATTTGCTCTGGGAAGATTTGGAAGGCACGAGCAAGCAAACTGACTGTCCACCAAGGCCGCCGGTATCCCCCGCCTCTACGCTCCTACCATCGGTATCGCCGTCGACGGCCGCCGCCAGAACCTGAGCGAGGAGTCCCTCGCCGCCAACGTCGCCCGCCTCAAGGCCTACAAGGAGCGCCTCGTCGTCTTCCCCCGCCGCTCCAACAAGCCCAAGCAGGGCGACTCCAAGGTCGACCTCGCCAGCACCGAGACCGTCCGCAACCTCTCCGCCGCCCTCCCCGTCGAGAACACCGTCAGCGGCTTCTCCGAGATCTCCAAGTCCGACGTCCCCGCTGCCGTCGAGGGTGGTGCCTACCGCAAGCTCCGCCTCGCCAGAGCCGAGGCCCGCAACCTGGGCAAGAAGGAGAAGCGTGCCCGCGACGCCGCCGAGGCCGAGGCTGCCAAGAAATAAGCAACTTGATTCCGTCAACGGGAAAAATTTGTTTACTTTCTTATGCATGTTCCTCTGGCTTTCTTGGTGTCGTCCGTCTCTTGTGGTGTCGGGGGGTTATGTTTGCTGCTGCGGCACAATGGAATCAGGTTTTCACTCGGCTGCTGCTTTCGACACGTTAAACAATCACAACTTTCTGGGCTTGAGGGAATTTAAAAAAAGTCTAGAAGCGCTGGGCCTGGCGTGGGTTCGGTGGAAATGAGAGAAGAGAGATAACTCAGGACAAGGTCATAAAGAAACTATTGCATTGATCACGCCCAGACTTGTGTGTTGCTGTCGTGTCGTCCTTGACGACGGAAGGAGACAGGACGCGCATATGATGAAATGTGTGACGTGTATCATGGGTCTATGTGTGACAGGAGTAGACTATGGATTGATTCTTCTGCCTTTTCGTCCCCTTTCTGTGATTTATTCTGGTTCCAGTGCTCGCAAGTTTGTCTCTTGTCAAGTAAATTTGTCTGGTGTTTCGTTTCCTTGCTATGTGCTATCTCATGTCTCCTTCCCCTTCTCATCAGCCAGCATCTCCCCGCCCTCCCTCAACATCTCCTCAAACGCAGCCCTCCTCACCGCAGGCAGCTCCTCCTCATGCCTCCTCACAAGCTCGCTCACCATAACAAGCCCATTCTCCCGATCAACCTTCTTCATCCCCGCCGCCTGGCTCGGGTCCGCCGCCTGCGGCTCCAGTCCCAACCCATCAACCAACGCCATACTATTCCCCTCCCCTCCAACAACCGTAGCCTCCGAGCTCGAACCCGCTTGCAACGCCGCCGGCCTCCCCTCCACATCCTCCCCAGAGAACGTCCGCCCCGTAATCGCCTCCGTCAGCGCCTCGAACGCGCCGGGCACCTGCAGCGCACGAATGACGACCCCAGCGCCGTCCTTCGCACGACACATGAGCGCGAACACGAACCACGCCTCGCTGCGCAGCACGGGGAACTTGGCCTGCGTGACGAGGAACGCGAGGGCCTTGTTGAGCGGCGCGTGCTGGCGGTAGAAGCGCTCCCTCCTGCGCGCGCCGCCGTCGGCCTCGGCCTCGGCGGCCGCGGTGGGCGCGAGCGGCTTCTCCGGCCGGAAGACGTAGCCGTCCTGCGTCGGGTCCCAGTCGGGCAGCAGGGGCGGGATGGGGGTGGTGTGCAGGACGCGGCAGACGGCGGCGGCGGCGCGGGCGGCCTCGGTCTTTGTGTGCTCTGCGTCGGTGCGGGCGAAGAGGTCGAGGAGGCGGTGGAGGTGGGTGGTGTCGTGGGAGGGGGAGAGGGGGTCCGGGTTGAGCGGGGCGCAGAGGCGGCGGACGTTGGGGGGCGTGTTGACGAGGAGGAGGCGGGTGAGGGAGACGGCGGAGAACTGGACTTGCGGGTTGACGTCGAGGGACCAGATGCGGGGGAGGATGTCGGCGTCGAGGAGGCCGGCGTCGCCGAGGGCGGGCTTGTTTTGGGGCGGGATGGCGAGGTTTTTGAGGAAGGAGAGGGCGGCGTGGAGGAGGGTTGAGTCGGTGGAGATGCGGAGGAGGGGCACGAGGGGGAGGTGGACGGAGTGGGATTTGACGAGGGCGTAGGAGGCCTCGTCGGATTTGGTGACGTTGCCGAGGCAGAGGCAGGCGGCGGACTGGAGGTGGACGTTGGGGAGGGCGAGCCAGGATTGCAGGGTCTGGATGACGGGGGAGCCGATGGGATTGTGGGCGGTGAAGGCGTCGTCGTAGGAGATGTCGGAGAGGAGCTGGACGAAGGACTGCGGGAGGGCCTTGAGTTGGATCGCGGCATCTTCGTCCTCGACGCGGATAGCCTCGAGCTGGGTTTGGAGGTGGTAGAAAGTGGCGAGGAGGATGGGGACGGAGCCGGTTTCGATGAAGGCCTTTTGGACGGGGGCGTGGGTGAGGTAGGCGAGGGCGACGGCCGTGAGGGTGACGAAGTCTTCGGGCTCTGTTGTCGGGGTGAGGGCGAGCGTGAGTAGGAGAGAGGGCGTTTGAGGGGGTGCGAGGGTCGCTTCGGACTCGTGGGTTGCGAGGAGAGCGACGAGTTTGGCGATGAGGGATAGAAGGCTCTGCGCTTGGGAGAGCCGGGGCGATGTGAGGAGGTTGACGATCGAGAGGGTCAGGTTGGCGGCCGAGGCTGCTTGTTGGGCTGGCTCGTAGTCCACGAGGATGTTGTAGAGGACTGAGATAGTAAACGGGAGGACGTCGTCGTCGTTGAGCAGAGCGATGATGGCTGGAAGGGCGCCTGAGGAGATGACGCGGGCGCGGTTCTCATCTGGGTGGCGTTAGCTTGTGACCGTGATCAGAGTAGACCAAAGTGAGTGAGCTACCTGTGTCGGCACATGAGTTGCCGATGATGCGGAGAGTGTGCTTTTTCAACGCCGGGCGCAGGTTCGATGTGGTGACGATCTTGAGGAACAAGTCCACGATACCGGAGTCGCCATAGGGCAGTCTCCATGAGGCTGTCGACATGTCAGCTTCTCATCCATCTTTGGATTTGTAAGGCTCAAATCACCATCTCGGCTCCCATCACCCAGCTTCTCTGCCACCACATCAATCTCTTGACTGCCCGCATGCCACATGTGCTGCGCGGTCGAGAACACATCGCCGAGCAGAGCGGTCCTGTGAGCGCGGCCCTGGTCCTCGGCGCCGGGGTTGGCCCATGACGAGGCGTCGGCCAGGATGTGTTCGATGGCGTCTACCCCAATGACGCTGGCTGAGGACTGCATCATTGGAGGCGTGGTGAACCGGTGTCTCTGTCTTGTGCTCCTGTCTCAAACTAGTCCAATGACTTTTTTCTCCGGTTGATTTCTCGGGATTGAACGTATGGTTCTTCAGTCTTGAAGATGAGAAGAGAGGTGCCCCTCACGGGAAACTTGAAGCGATTCGTGTTCGTGATTGGATACTGCCTGCTTCCTGGCTTGCGTGGTGGTGCTGCGGACTGGACTTGGGATGACCTGCCCGAGTTCCTGCTTTGGTGGTGGGTGACGCCTGAGGAGTTGGCAGCGGGCAATGTGATTGGCTGGGAGTGACAGCATTTGTGGGGTGGACGTGGGCAGCAGGTCGAACTTCTACCTTACATACTGCGTGGTAGAGCAAACAATACTTCAATAAATTGCGGAACTCGGTATTCCTGAGCAAAGGGAAGTCAATGAATCAGCTATTGTCTGGTCGTCAGTTTTGTGACAAGTGGATTGACACAAAGGGGTATGCTGTCTGCCCGATGATGCTGCACTGACCGAACGGGCCTTCTTTCCTGGCCCAGAAATGGATGTCTGCGCAATTTATTGTAATGAGAATCCGCTGAACCCGTGTGGCAAGAATTTGGTTGGCTAAATGGGGGAGAAGAAACTATGCCAGTAATGTTTTCACCAATAAAGTCTCATCTCTTGCAAGATAGTGGATTCTCGGTTTGATGGGTACTTTCGGTACCGTTTGGTATGCACCTTGACAACTTTCACTGCTTCCATTTTCACATTTTGACATTTCCGGTCTTGCGAGCTGCAGAGCCGACATTGTTCCAAAAGCTCATCCCCTTTTTCCATAAAGACCGCTTAATCTGCCTACGTCTGGGCGGCTACGAAGACGATAGGAGCGAAGACGATAGAGACGACGACGGCGACAATAACAACGACGCAAGACGACGACGACGATAGACGGCAACGAAAGACGACAAAGACACAGACGATTAGAGGCGACGGCAACAGCGACGGCAGCGAAAATAGTGAGCACACGGGAAAAAGAGTCACTCTAACACTGAAATAAGTTCACCTCGCCGCTTCTTTATGCCAAAATGGCAGATGAGACTGGCCCGAAACGTTCCACGGTGTTGAGCAGCGTCATCGCTCATCCTCTCAATCGGCAGCAATTGGACGACCAGACAGACCCAGACAGTTTCTCTGACCTTTGGAAACTCACCGACAGCGTCATGGAGTTTTATACCCCATCGTCTGACAATACCTGCATGATAATCTCGACTTTTCGGGAAATGCTCTCGAAAAACGGAGCGATCTCTCTCATGACCGACATCAAGAAGATCGGCAGAGATCAAGTGAAGCTCAGGGCATTCTCACGCTATCTAATTGACACAATACTCAAGCCAAGTTAGTTATGACTCTATCTAAGAGGTTTGCTATCCGGGCAGTGTCCACCACACACGCGTGTAAACCGTGTATCCTACTAAGACCCCTATTTTCTTATACTGCGTTTAAGCCACAACGTTTCCTATATATTCATTTCCCTTATCGTTGCCGTCGTCTGTCGTCGTCATTATCCCTATTCCTATCGCTTTCTCTACTACTGTCGTCCTTATTGGAGTATTGGGTACGCTACGATCGAAGTCACAGGGGACACTGCCCGGCCAGTAACCTCCTATCTAAGTCGATAATGTACTGACAAAAGTTTGATTTCAATAGTGAAGCTTGCGAGTATGGTCAATTCTGTCGCACTGGCATCCACACCCGCGTTGCCCAATTTCAATGCCACCAGCTCGATTACCCAACTCGCGGAACCAGCCAGAGGCCGACGGGAGATTCTCAAGGATGAATGCCTCCTACGTGACGGATTCCGCTGTGCATACAGTCATTGCAGCGACTATGAGAGTATTATGGAGGGGCTATTTGTGCCGCCTGCAGGCATGCCCGCGGGTGGCACTCATCTCTCACATGTGTTGCCATTAGCCCTTGGGAAGTTTAACAACGCCAATCAAGTCGAGAGAGAAGCGGTGGCCAATGTTTGGTATGCTTTATACCGATACTTCCCTGGATTGGGGGGGGAAAATCGGCCCGGACAGCCTGAATCAACACCAAAACCTCATCACCTTTCACACCGGTGTTCGTGAAGACTACGACGACCACCGGTTGGCTCTCAACCCCGTTGATGGCAAGGTAGGGTATCTTTGTAGTTCCAAACCCGTCAACAATTTGAATCTTTAGCTAACGTCCAATGGCTAGATTAACAAGTACGAAATCAAGAACCTTCAAGGAGCCCCTTTCGCTGTCAAACCCCCGCAAGGCCATCGTGAAGTCATGACGCTGGTCTCCTTCGACAACAGATACCCCCTTCCCGAGCCGGAGTTTTTCAGGGCTCATTATCAGATCGCGAAAATTCTTGATGCAACAGGGATTGGGGTAAACATTGAGGCGGAGATAAATGCTTCTTATTACGACCCCGAAAACCTGAGCCCTGATGGCTCAACTGACTTGGGGTCGATCCTGAAACGGAAGATGCTGCTGAACATTTGATCCTAACCCAACATCGCACGGGATGGCAGTGCTCGTGGTGTTTGCGTATTGACGCATCTCCTGGGTTTGTTTTGAGTGTTGAGGTTCGTTTGGGGTCTTGTTTTGATCCAAGACTTTGGTCGTTTTTTGAGCTTTGCGCCGTAAAGTGACTATTTCCGAAGCAAGAATATCATACGAGTTGGGATGTTTGTGTTTGCTATTTGAACTTCACCAGAACCAGGTTCAGTGTGGCAAAGCAAGGACCTTCTCGGGAAAGACCCAAAAACACCTATTATCTGTGAATTGAAGAAATATTTCGCTCATATTTCTATGCAGCTCTCATTTCATTTCATTTCGTGTCTTCCCTTTAGTTGTCGCACCTATTGGTTAAGACTTGAGTCTCGCTATATTCGGATACTCGGAGCATTCGGCCGGATAGAAAAGCTCTTGATCGTGTGTCGATGACCAGAAAAAGTATACAAATTGAAGGACACGTCCAAGGTTTGTGCGGTGAGACGAAGATAGCAATATTTCCTCTTTTTGGGAAATGGAAGTTGAAGAAGAAGTGGATGCCGTAGCATGACAGCCACTCTGCGTTCAAGTTGGCGCAGGGGATGTGTTTGCAGAAGCTCTCCAATTTTGCAGTTCTTGCGCCAACAGCTTCGGTGAAGCCTCAACAAACAGCTACAGAACCCCTGGCTTCAAGAGCGCATATAAAACCACATCATGACCCAATAACATCCCCTTTGAAACTTTTCATCTTTACACCAGCGACCCAGTTCATCAGACCATCATGCTTCGTCCCGCTCCCCAGCTGCCCATTGGGCGGAGCATGCTCCCACGCGCATGGCTGGCATCGAAACCACTTATTCCATCCTTTCTTGCAAGACCTACCAACAGTCAACCAGTCTTTGGCCCCAAGCGACTTCTTGGCCCCTCGGCCATCAAGAGGTTCGCCTCCAGCAGGCCAACTAAGAGGGAACCAAAGGAGACCCGAGGCACTTCCGTCACGACATGCACTGTGTCCCAATTTCTCAGCAAGCATGGAGAAGACTTGAAAAGGTGGATTCAGACCGGCAAAGCCTTTATGATCGCTTACCGCACCACCTACGGACATCATGAGCTCTGGGAATCATACAAAGAATCGCTGTCACGCCACGCACGCCTGGAGTGGGACTTCAGGTTGATCATCATTGAAGACAAAGATGTTCTCGATGGTCTCTCCTTCCATCTAGTACGGAACGTTCACAACGACCTGGTTTCAAAATCCACCGGATTGAGTCCGAACGAAATCGCTGAATACGGGATCCCTGGACTTGATTTTTTTACGCACATCAGCGACGAATATCTCATGGACTTTAAGAGTGGGGAATCGCGCATGCGACCTTTTACTCTGGTTTCTGCCTTATGGAAACCTTGGTACCTTCATCCCCTAAAACGCTTTATTGCTCGGTATCTATCACCTAAGAGTGATCCTGAAGAGGCACGTGGTTATTTGCAATTCAACGAATGCGATCTGTCCCCAACTTTGTATCAAAAGCTGGCATGTACCAAAAGGGATTCCAATGAAAAACTTGGTTATCTTGGTAGATACGGCAGGTGGACTTATTCTAGTGTCTGGGGACGTAAAAAATAGATGGTCCATCTTTACTAAAAGATGCAATGAAGCTACCATGAGGAAGAAAGAATAGTTCAGATTCCAAGATCTTTCTTCATGGCAGAGTCTTGCTGGTGGATACTTCCAGCTTACCGGGTACAAAGCTTTTTGTGCTAGCTCCATGTCATTTCCATTTTTCTTGTCTAGAAAGGTAAACCCAAAATTGAAATCCATGATATGCCCCTGCCGTTGTTGTTGTTGTTGCTGTTGTTGTTGTTGCTGTTGTTGTTGTTGCTGTTGTTGTTGTTGCTGTTGTTGCTGTTGTCGTCGCCATCGTTACACAGTTATTATCCATCCGAATAACAAGTCTCGTATGAAAAGTCTCAGTTTATCGGTTGACCTATCGAGCGATCAAGAATGTTAAATGAGACTTCCAACATTCCAGGAAGCCATTACATGGGATGAGATCTGATAACAGGTCATGTAATGACAACAATAATAACCAATTGTGACAAGAGCAAGCCCCTCCAAGTGCAGTACGTTGAAGTAAAAGGAACATGAAAATGGGGGCTCAGCCATAAGGATCTGATCGGGTCCCCCTGAAAATGTGGGCAAGTAGTGAGATGTAATGAGCTGTTGAAAGTTGGTCCTATTGCTGTGTACGCTGCGTTGTTCTTCTATCCGCTAACGATGGATGGTCAACAAGAAAATGCAGTTCCCATGGAAGGATGAGTTTGGTAGATGTAGGCTGTCTTCTGACTGGGCCGAACCCTTTCTCCATGAAACTCTTGCTTAGAAGCTGAATATCACGAGATCTAGCCGTTATTCCAGCCTCGATTAGTAGCTAGACTGAAACCACCGAACGCTTGTTATAAGCCGGAACTTCCCATAACACCCATTCCGGTAGAACATGGCCAGCCGCTAGCTTTCAGCTCAACGCCACGATCTACCTAAATTCGCCATATTGCCGCCTTCAGCTTGTTTGAAGATAAGCCACCAGCGGTCGAGACATGAAAACTTGAATTGCTATGGCAAGGTCTGAAAAGAAAGCCGGGAATATGGCAAAGCGTGCTATGGCATATGTTAGACCAGAATTCCCATTTAAAGGAGTAGGAGAAGGATTGAATCTTGTTTTTTTTGCACAAATAAGTCAACATTTCCTCCATATTATTGCACACAAGTAATTTCTTACGGCTAAGTTGCTCTGTTCCTCTTCACTCTTAGAAGAACTTGACCCGCTATCCGGTATTGACTCATACTACCCATTCTCATTTCTATTAGTTATCAGACTGTCTTCTAACATGTTTTGAACACCAGGACTCTCCTTATCCACAAAATAAGTCCACTATAATCCACTATGTCTGGCGTCGAAGCTGTGATCGGCCTGATTGGCGGTGTCATAGGCCTTCTCGAGGCTGCGAACAAGGCATATGCGACGATCAAGGACATGGCCGGACTTCCAAAGGCCTTCCAGGAAGTTTCTCAGAGAATACCGCTCGTGTTACAAATACTGGAGCACGTGAAGACGAACGCAGGGCAAGCACCGAGAACAACAATTGACGCAATCACGCCAGTTGTCACATCGTGCAAGGGAGAGGCCGAGATGCTCAAGGATATACTGGAAGGGCTTGCAAGTGAGGATTCGAAATGGGACCTGAACCGATACGTCAAAATGATCAAGTGCAAGGGGAAGAAAGGTCGTGTGGAGGACTTGATGAAAAAGATCATCGAAAATGTCCAAATCCTGGCAAGCGACCAGACGATGAAGCTTGCAACGTCGCAGCAGCTTCAAGAATTGGGGCTGGCTGTAGAAGGACTCAAAATCATTGAGCCATCCGCTCCAGACGAGCTCTTGCGACAGGGAGAAACCGTGACCATCAATTATGATGGAACTGGGTCCCAGCACAACCAGATCGGTAACAACAACACTTCTACGACCTGGCATGGCCACGGAACTGGGCACATGATTCAGGGAAACGCATACTTTGGCGCAGCTCCAGGTCAGTGAGGGTAGTCTGCAATACTCGTCTTTTTTGGTGTATCAGCATTTGTATTTTGGCACTTCATATTCACGAAAGACACGAGAGACTATAAGCTTGGGGAAATTATCAGAAGAGAATGCACAGGAGGAAATTTGTTAGGAGATCAGACCCTATATTGTTGTCGATGAGTGCAGGATTCAGAAATTCTCCTCGGTAGTAGAAGTATTACGAACAGAAATCCCTATGTTAATCACAAAAATCCTGCTTCGTTGACCACAAGCTAATATTTTGGCTTGAGCAGAAACCAGGGAGGCCAAGGTGAACCGGCTTATCCGCACCCTTTCTGAAAACACCTGCTTTTATCAGGCAAGCAAGGACAGAAATCCAATGCGAGCACCTGGAACATGCGAGTGGTTCATTGGACACCGAAGTTTTCAAGAATGGCAAACAGAACGATCTTCAGGGCTGCTTTGGGTTTCTGCTGATCCTGGCTGTGGAAAATCAGTTTTGGCAAGGCACTTGGTTGACAACGTCCTTCCAGGGTCACCTTCGCATACCATATGCTACTTCTTTTTCAAGGACGACTTCCAAGACCAGAAGAGTGTTTCAGGCGCCATGTGTGCTATTCTGCACCAAATATTCATGGAGAAGCCGTTTCTTGTCTCTGATAAGATGCTCAATGACTTCGAAATGATTGGCTTCAAGCTTGCCCAGTCGTTTCAGCATCTCTGGGACATTCTGATCTCCGTATCATACGGCAAATCTGGCAATATCACTTGCATCCTAGATGCAGTCGATGAATGTGAGGAGTACGAGCGAACCCAAATAGTCGCTGCATTGTGCCTTCTTTTCAAAAATCCTGAACGGCCCAAGGCACTGAAGTTCCTTCTTACCAGTCGCATGGATGGTCAAATTTCACGGGGTTTGCAGAGTCTCGAGAGTCTTGCTCCAACTATACATCTACACGGCGAAGACGAGGAGCAAGTTGACAAAATTGCACAAGAAATCAATCTTGTCATCAGGGGTAGAGTCTTCGAACTGGGCATGAAATTCAGCTTGAATCAAGCGGAAGAAGAACTCTTGTATGACGAACTTACGAGCATGCCAAATCGGACGTACCTTTGGGTCTATCTGGTATGCGATGTTATAGAGATGACTCTGGGCATATCTTCCAGTGCAATCCGTCAGGTAGTAGGAGATATTCCCCCTACGGTTGACGAGGCTTATGAGAGAACTTTGCGCAGGAGTACTGATTCTCACAAAGCTAGGATTCTTCTTCACATTGTCGTTGGGGCTGAGAGGCCGTTGACATTGCAAGAATTAGCGGTGGCATTCGCTATCTCATGTGGATGCGCGCCGCAAGACTTACGAACTGAGCCGGCAATGAGATCTCGCGACGCGATCAGAGTACTTTGTGGCCTTTTTGTCACTGTCATTGACTCGAAAGTCTACTTGATCCATCAGACAGCGAAAGAATTCCTACAAGGCTCGCATTCTGATGATCTGCATCCCGAGCGTTTCATCTGGAAAGCCTCATTCGACCCGCTTGAGTCGAATCGAGTTCTCACTGGTGTGTGTGCAAAATACTTGCATTTCATGGGGATGACCAACTCGCCATTTCCACTTCACTTGCATGTTCCTTCAAACTGCATGTGTGATGAGAACTGGGTGAAGTACAGCTTTCTGGCATACTCAGTAGAGTATTGGACCCTCCATTGCAGGAATGCAACAGTAATGGTTGATTGGGACATTGAAAATCTCATTGCGGACCTTTGCAATGTTGATTGGGTTGGATGTTTGCCTTGGGTCACAGCGTACAACACGCTCTTGCCCGAGGGTCGGCAAATTGACCCGTCAAGCTTTACAACACTCATATTGGTATCGTACTTTGGACTTGAGGAGATGGTGTCCAAGCTTATCCAGAAGGAACACATACAACTGAACATCAAGGACAATAAGTACGGTCGCTCAGCTCTAGCATGGGCAGCTCGCAACGGACATTCGAATGTTGTTCGGGTGCTAGTCAATACCGTTACCAATCTTTCTCCAAAGGAAAAGTTCCGCCGAGGCAAAGTTGATGTCAACTCGGTGGATCAGAAAGGCCAGACTCCCTTGTCTCTTGCTGCTGAATGGGGTCACGAGTCTGTTGTCAGACATCTGGTTGAGTCGAAGAAGGCTGACGTGGACTCAAGCTGTCACAGAGGTTGGACACCTCTCGCTTTTGCAGCAGCACACGGCCATGAAGCCTCAGTCAGACAACTTCTAATGACCAGAAAGGCTAAGGTCAATTCAAGAAGTTGCTTGAGCCTTCAGTATGTCTGGACATCAATACCCCCTGCCGGTTTGGGAAGCAGGCGCATACTTCAACACGTTTTGTCTATCCTATGGGACAACATTCGTGGAAGCGGGGATACCCCTTTCATACTAGCAGCACGGTATGGAAGGTCTGATATCGTGAAGATATTCCTCGACATGAGCGACCCTGACATCAATATGAAAGGAACTGGCGGAAGAACAGCACTGGCTCACGCAGTAAGCAATGGAAACGCAGAGGTCGTCAAGTTGCTGCTTGATAGGGCTTCTATCGCCATCGATTCAGAAGACTCAGCAAACAAAACGCCCCTTGCACTAGCAGCTGAACGAGGCGACTTACAAATGGTCATCCTCTTGATGAGCACTGGCAAAGCAAACATCAATCACAAATCTTCATCAGGGAGAACGCCTCTTGCACTCGCATCTTACGAGGGACACGAGGGCGTTGTCAAATTCCTACTACAATTTGTCGCAGTTGATGTCAATTCAGCAGGAAATTGGCGGGAAAGCCCACTATTCCTCGCAGTGACGAAGGGGCATTCGAAAGTCGTCGAGGCTTTGTTATACTCGAGAGAAGTCGATTCCGATCATCAGTTCAACGATTTCAAAACGCCTGCTATTCTAGCCATTGAGAAAGGGCAGACCGAAATGGTTCCGCCGTTGCTTCGCAAATGCACTGGGAATCTCCTGGCACTGGACACACTTCTTGCTGCAATCGAGAATGGGCATTTGGAGATCGTGCAAATGCTAGTAAGAAAACATGAAGGAAACGCTAATGTTGACGAGCTGGTGTCTGTCGGATTGCTCGTAGCAGCTAGCCTAGGCCAACTGCAAATCGTCAAAATTCTCCTTCAGACAGGCCGGGGCGATGTTCATACTAAAGATGCTGATGGTAGGACGTCTCTCCACCATGCGGTGTGGTATGGGTATACAGACATTGTGAAACTTTTATTGGAGACAGAACAGGTGGACGTGAATTGTGCAGACCTTCAAGGGCGTACGCCTTTGGATATCGCCGAGGAAAGAGGCTTTCAGAGCATTCTTGAGATTCTAGAAGACTATAGGAAGCAAAAAGAGTGGTGTCCAGTGTTGGTTTGTCAGGTTGCTGAGACAAACACGAAGTAGACTCTCATGGGTCAACAAGGTGCGCCTCCAGGCGGCAAACTGCGAAGAAGAAAAGTTAGAAGGGAAGAAAGGGGGGTAGACTCTCATGGGTCTTAAACTTCAGGGCGGAGTTCCTGGCCTGGGTCAACATCTGTTATGAGGCAGAAATGAACCTGGTTTGCAGCACATACCAATNCCCGGTTTGGGGGGGCTTCCTATATGACCGGGGGAAAGTATTTAACTATTCCCCCAAAAAAAAAAAAAAAAAAAAAAAAAAAAGAAAAAAACCCATCAATGAGCGGGACGGAGCGTGCCATTCTCCGTATCTTCGACCTAACAGGCCTTCAGAAGACCTGGATTTGGAATGAAGACGAGTCCGCCACCGAGCAACTTCATTCAAGACAAGGGCTCTCAAAACAGATTAGGAGAGCACAATTTTGACAATTTGGCACACTGACAACATATAAGGCAAATAGGCGGTGCAGGTCGTATTGCAGTCCTTGCCGATTTGGTGAGATCAAGTGTAGGCAAGCCAGTGAAGAGCGCGGGGAAGAGTTTGTATCAGACTAGTGTCCACATCATGCCAGAGCTTCCGATGTTGTGGTGTTGCTTGAGGGAGGGAATGTTCCGTATTTTGTTGCGCAGAGTGCGCGATGATGAGTCTCTTGGAAACAGAGAAGACAACGAGAAGGAAGCCGCTACATACGAAAGAGAGCAGAAACAGATCAAAAAGAAAAGCCCGACGGCCGTACTTTATTCCCAGAGAATTATCGATTTGCCGGCGAGTGCTTTCCGGATGGATAAATGAATGGGGAGGCATGAAAGAGTCTTGTGAGAGAATTAGGCAGCTCAGCTTCAGTGACATTTACCATGGCGTAAAGAGTTGAGATACTGCCGATGTACCAACCAATGGTGGTGTTCTTAGACAGAACAGGCTAGATGCGTGGCTCTCCGGATGAAGTCTCGCTGGAGGAATTGGATTACGGCGGCGGCTACCTCAAAGAAACTACTGAACCTTTATTTTTATGGTGTCCAAACTGTTGTGGAACTTCGTCAGAGAAGTTTTGAGGATATAATGTGAATTTCGCTTCACATTCGGAACCCCCGAGCCTGAACCCCGTGTGACCCGGGTGTTCCCCACTTTTCCGGGACTACCCCGTCGCCGCTCCACGGCAATTTAACTAGGCGGTGTCCGATGAGGCCCGGGAGTTCGGCAAAAGAACAGATTAAAAAGGCGGTTCGATTCACTGATCAAAGAAATCCGAGTTCACCGTTTGCGAAACGGAAGATCTTATCGCGATGGTCAGTTTGATATAGTGTGCCATCAGCCAGGTTTCCGGAAGACTAAGCCCACACTAGCCTTCAAATCATCGCGACTTTTGGGTCTTTGCAAGGACAAGCTTTCTTTCTTCGTTGGTTTCTCCGCTGCCATGACGATATGGGCGGGCGTGAGCCGAGGCTGTTCTGCCAGTCCCCATCCAATTCGTTCTTGGGACCAGGACACGGACGTTGCGATGAGTACACGAGGGCCGTCCAGCCGTCCGCCTTACCTTCTGCCGGCCAGGATGATGAGTGAGGCACACGTGAAGGCCCACAAAAGACGTCAAAGATACAACGCAAGGCGATATCACGGCTACTAAATGACTTGCAGCGGTGATATAGTCATGCTGGAATTAGGCGCCGATCCTGAATGAGTCGTGCTCGCTAGCCGGGGTGTCCTTTCTCTTAAACGCCGTCTGCGATTCGATCATCAGTGCCACGAGCATGCTTCAAGTTCGGGAAGTTGTTGGAAGATCGCATCGCATACTTTGATCGCCCCCAATAACACAAGACGCATGGGCCAATATCACCACTTCAAGTTAGGACAGGTGTTGGGAGGGCGCACATCATTACCAGATTACGATTGTCATCATCTATGGGTATCCGCTCGACTAGCATTGACATATTTGCACACGTGGGCACGCATTTCTCTCCCCACACACCGCTATGACCGCCCTTACAACGCCAGGATCCAGTCCCGCAGGACCTTTTGGATCTCGTAGCTGTTCTTCTCCATGAAGAACATGTGTCCGTTGCCGTGGATGCCAGCCTCGCCGAGCTCGAGGTGCTCGGTCTTGCTGCATCCGGCCTGCTGCAGGAACTCCACGGTGCAGTGGTCGTAGGGCGCGTGGTAGGAGGCCTCGGAGGTGACCAGGAGGATGGGCTTGCTGGCGAGGTTGACGAGCTGGCGGGGCGCGGGCTCCTCAGCCTGCAGGACGCACTGGACGTAGTTCTCGCCCTTGGCGGCGTAGGTTGCCTGGACGAGGTCGGTGGTAGGGTCGGTGACCTCGGGGGAGTAGGTGATGGGGATGTCGGTCAAGCCATAGGGACGGCCGGCCTTGGTGCTGAAGATGGCCTCCTGGAAGGGAGGGCCCGTGGGCTCGAGGAGGATGAGGGCCTTGGTGAGCTCGGGACGGGCGTCGGCGATGATGATGGGCATGATACCACCCTGGCTGTGACCGAGAACGACGGCGGGGCGGCCGATCTTGTCGAGCAGGGCGGCACCCGCGTCCTGGACGGTCTTCTGCTGGTACGTGGCGTTGTTGACGAACTCGACGTTGGAGCTGTAGAAGGCATCGAAGATCGGGTCGCCCATGGTGCCGGTACCGGGCCACTGGGTGTGGTTGGCAGCTTGGGCCCAGAGCATGTAGTCCTTGACGGCGGTGAAGCGCTGCTGGATGATCTCAGCGGAGTAGGTCGAGGGCTTGGTTGCGCCGTAGGCGGGCATCCAGGCGGAGCGGCCACGGAACGTCTGGTCGACGATGTAGACCTCGAAGCCCTGTCTCACAAAGTGAGAAGCCCAGCCACGGCCGCCATCGGGCTTGTTGAGGAAGTTCTGGGGACAATATCAGTAAGGTTCAAGGCTCGGCCGAGAAAGATTGTGACCTTCCGAAGAGGGCCTCATGGGGATCTGCAGTGCACTTACGGTACCCGTTTGGGCCTGTCCGTGGATCAGGACGATCGGCGTCTCTTGGGTGACGCCAAAGGTAGGGAGCAACTTCTCAACGTACATCTGGTCACGGAAGATGTGGCCGCCGGAGCCATCGTCGACGTAACCGCCTCCGACGTAGAAGTAAGAACGAATGTAGGGGACCTCCGAATCAACGCATCCCTCATCCGGCGTAGGCGGCGCGCCTTGTCCCGGGAAGCCTGGCGGTCCGCCGCGTTGGGGGAACGCGGAGGCCTGGCCCAGCAGAGCGGCGGCCACAGAAGCTAGCTTGAGGAACTGCATATTGTGCTGCGTCGGCGTGTGTCACCTTGATACCAAATGAGACACGGGGGGCTAGCGATTGACTAGATGGGAGACCCTTTGGAACAAAAGGAGTGGAAGGGGGAAGGGAGAACCGAACCAACGGAGAGTGACTGAGAAAAAGAGCGACAGTGGTTGGGCAGGGGATCAACAAAGTTTCCGTCCACGCGACGGAAGGGTGGCAACTCATTCTTTTTAATTGAACGAAAATCACCTTGCCGCGAGCTCCGCTAGTCTAGCATAAGGGTCCCATCCTTCGAGTGATTTCAATGATAGGGCTGATGGAGCGGCCAAGGAATGAGGTAATACGACGTTGAGACATGGCTTGCCGGTGAGCTTAGCGGGACGCCACCGCCTCCAAGGCTTCGATTCGGTCTGTAAGTCTGGATAGCGGCACTCGCCCGATGGACCGAGACGCCACGCGGCCACTTCCCGATCGTGGGATGGAGACTGGGCAACTTCACGGCGTACGATATACGGCGGAACTCGGGGGGGTTCAATTGACAATAGGGGATAGTTGGGGGTTATTCAGCACTGCCTAATTTCCATCCATTGAAGAAGTTGGCCTGCCCATATTAAAGTGGTGTTGTCCGGGCACGAGTCAGTTCGCCGACAGGGACCAGGGCCTCAACACACGCGAGGGTCTCATATAGAACGGGGCCGCGGTAGCATCGTCGAACAACCATGGATATTAACCTTCACTAGAGGGCTGGATGCGGATCATGTCCGAGCATTAATCTCCGTGCGCAGAGGAAAGAGGAGAGAAAAACTGCTTCGGGATCGCTTTCTTGGGCGGCTGTCAGACGCAACGAGAAGCTCGGGTTTGGGGGCTAACTTCTGTCAAAGGAACAAGTGCCGAAGAGGGAACTTATGTGCTCGAAGAGAGAAAAGCAATGACTTGCAATTTTGGTGGGGGAGCTTGGTGATCTTATGGCGGGTCGAAGAGTGGTGATTATGATGATCTTGATCCATTTCCCACATCTTCCCACATCGGCCGTGGACAATCGGTTGATCGGGTCCAAAATTCAATGGAGAATCAAGAAATCAACCTGCTCGACTCCAAGTGGTGGCCAAGACCGACTGTCTTACCGGCTTTTCAGAACGGCAAGACGGCTGTGGCTGTATCTACCGCTAGCTTTTGCTAGTGCCCAGATCAACCGTCAGGCCATCCCCGTCTTTTCCTAGTGGACGTTTGCTCCTCCGATGCATCCATATCCCTGCAAGGTACGCGCACGCACGCACGCCCGCCACGGGGGGGCAGATTCTGATATCGTATTTTGTGTCTTTCAACTCCGTCGGCAAAAAGAAGAAAAGGATCTGTCCGGTTCCGGTCGCTGAAGAACAAGATCTAAGCGAAGGCTGCCTGTTCATGCCGGTTGTTGTTGAAGAATCAAGAAATCCGCTCCACACTCGAATCGTCTTCGGTACGCTTAAATCCTCTCCGCAAGCGATGTTGCATGCGGTGCTGCGGCACAAGAAAAAAGAAAGATGATCCCTGGATCTTACGTTACCTCTTGTAAGTCCGTAACAACCAGTCCGGTCACCTCGGCTTCTAGAAGTCTAAAGACCTCCCCTCGGACAGAGCCCCACGGTGGATCGCAATCACACATCTGTCCTGGGATGGGGGAGTCTGCAGCCGACGTGCATCCGAAGGCGCAGGGAAAGTTGGGGTTGAAGAACGGAGGTCTCAAGCCCTGATCCTTTCATCTGGGTCGGCCTCTTCGCAAGGTCT